GTTGTTAAAAATAACAACTAAAGTAATCGATGCAAGTTAGAAGTTTTTTGCTCTTGATTTTCTGGCATAGGGTGCTCAAAAATGCCTTTTTTCTTTTGTAATTAATTGTAGGTCTTCTAAACCTCTGAAAACTTTAAATCTTATTGCTAAGTATGAAAAACTGCATAAACTAAAACATCTAAAGTTACAAAATAATCCTTTAGGTATTTCTTGAGAAATTTAAAAAAAATTCGAAAACTGAAAGCGTCTTTTCCATTACTGTAGGGTAGTGCACATGGAAAAATTGGTCCGTATTTTAAAACTAAAATAACCTTTTATGTAATTGTTAACATTTTTTTACTGTATTTTTAAGAATCATTATTATAATTTATCAAATCATTAGTTATAAATTCTGCTTATCAGTATTGTTCTATTATAATTAATAGTAGTAATCTCAGCTGATATTAAAGTAAACACAATTAAGTTAAATGAATAGAAATATAAGTTTAACGTTGAAAGTTACTTTCACAAATATCAGTTCAGCATTGAAACATACATTCTAAGAAATTTCCACAAAATCCGGATAAATGGCCAGAAATTTATACGGCCAGCTCCCTTCTTTGAGAAAAAAAAGATCATCACCATAATTGTAATGAACTTCAGCAAAATTATTAAAGTTGACCGTTCATTTAAACGGTCAGCTCCCTTCTTCGAGAAGGAGGTCAATAGAACGTAAAAATGCTTGACTTGAAAAAAATTTGCCACGATACTTATTTGCCATTGGCAGTTAGTGATCATATTAATAAGAAATACACACGATACTTATTTGGCTTAATATTGTAATTATTTTACAAATATTTAGTCTCAAAAATTTTTGAGTAAGATTTTCACACATTTTAATTATCTTAAATTCTGCATAAAATTATGCAGTTAGATATACACCGAAGAGCTATTACATTATGACCACCCTGCTAATAACATGTAGGACCACCTTTAGCCCTCAAAACTGCTAGCACTCGCAGAGGCATTGATTCCACAAGGTGCTGATAGGTAGTCTGAAGTATCTGGTACCAAGCGCTCACTAACTAGTCTTGCAATTCCCTCACATTGCGAGGGGGTAGCGTGGCAGCGCGAATTTGGTTTTCCAAGTAGGACCACAAATGCTCTATTGGATTNAAATACCTTTTTTCTTTTGTAATTAATTGTAGGTCTTCCAAACCTCTGAAAACTTTAAATCTTATTGCTAAGTATGAAAAACTGCATAAACTAAAACATCTAAAGTTACAAAATGATCCTTTAGGTATTTCTTGAGAAATTTAAAAGAAAGTCAAAAACTGAAAGGGTCTTTTCCATTACTGTAGGGTAGTGCACATGGAAAAATTGGTCCGTATTTCAAAACTAAAATAACCTCTTTTTATGTAATTGTTAACATTTTTTTACTGTATTTTAAAAAAATATTATTATAGTTTATCAAATCATTAGTTATAAATTCTGCTTTTCAGAGTTGTTCCATTTCCGCAAAATCCGGATAAATGGCCAGAAATTTAAACGACCAGCTCCCTTCTTGGAGAAAAAAAAGATCATCACCATAATTGTAATGAACTTCAGCAAAATTATTAAAGTTGACTGTTCATTTAAACGGTCAGCTTCCTTCTTCGAGAAAGAGGTCAATAGAACGTAAAAATGCTTGACTTGAAAAAAAATCTTCCTGGTGAACAGCTACCATTGACAGTTAGTGATCATATTAATAAGATGTACATACGATACTTATTAGGCTTAATATTGTAATTATTTTAAAAATATTTAGTCTCAAAAAATTTTGAGTAACATTTTTACACATTTCAGTTATTTTAAATTCTGCTTAAAATTGTGTAGTTAGATATACACCGAAGAGCCATTACATTATGACCACCCTCCTAATAACATGTAGGACCACCTTTAGCCCTCAAAACTGCTAGCACCCGCCGTGGTATTGATTCCACAAGGTGCTGATAGGTAGTCTGAGGTATCTGGTACCAAGCTCTCACCAACTAGTCCTGCAATTCCCTCACATTGCGAGGGGTAGCGTGGCAGCACGAATTTGGTTTTCCAAGTAGGACCACAAATGCGCTATTGGATTAAGGTCAGGTAAATTTGGGGGCCAAGACATGACTTGAAAGTCACTGGAATGAAAACCTGGGCGAGCCCATTGTTATAGATGGAGGGTCGTCATAATGTAATGGTGTATTTGTATTATTTCTTCGGTGTATTTGTATTTAAGTGATATTTAAACTAAATTTAATCCTAATGTTTTTTTTTATGTTTTCCTCATAGAAAATTTCTTTTATACAAAGTTATGATAAGAAAATATGTCATACCATATAATATATAATGTATTAAAAACTAATTTTTTATTTGAATTCATACTAAATTAAAAATATTTCATCCACAAAACTGCACTTAAACAATTTTTCCAATCGAAATAATTTTATTTTATTTTTTTAGCAGAGGTAATTTATTTTTACTAGTGACTGGAACTCTTTTTGGCGGCCATTGACCTTAACCTTGTAAAAGTTTTACGGCATAATATATTCTGCAGCGTAATTAAAGTGATTAATTTAATTGTTTTATCATGGCATGTAATCAAGTTTAAAATGGTTTAATTGGCATGATTTTAAAGTTCAACTAGTTACCCTTATGAAGTTTGCATCAGGTTTTCATGGCATTCTCGATCAACATAAGATTAGGTGTATGATCAAATTGCATTTTTCTCCGATCTGGTCTTAGTGGTTCGGAATCTACTTTTATCTCCTCAGAAGTTTTAGAGTCACCTGAAAAGTCCACGCGCATTTGGTTGGTTGGGGAGCGTGGTGTGGAGGCCGGGAAATTAATAACTGTCTCCCAATCATCATTAAGAATGAATTCCAGATCGTCACCATTAGCATATCAGTCTAGTTCAAGGTTGACGTAAACATTTATAACAGTGTATAGTAAACAAAATTAAAGTGTAAAACATCAAGTGTTGTTTATTTTTATGCTAGAGCTAATTAATAACGATGTCATTTTTCGACGGTTCGTTAGAAAAAATTATGATTTTATTCTACGGCGCATTCTTATAATTCTCAGTTAAATATTTTCGGAACGTGTTGAACCATAATATAGTACAAATTTGATGTTACCATAATATTGATTCTTCTTTTTCTTCTATAGCTCTGCAGACTATTGCAGGCCAAGGCTGTACATGCATAGTAAAACAAGTTTAGTTTACCTAAACACCAAAAAGGGTGGCAGCTATACATCAAAATATTTCCTAGCTCACGCAATTAAATCATAATCAAAGCATTTTGTTACAGTAGTGTTTATTGATGAGAAGACCTGCTCACACGCGTATGAGCACCTAAACATTGTAAGCAGTGATATTTCTTAACTTTATAGTGTGGTAGCAGTGATATTGCTTTTTTAAAACTTCGACAAAGATCGTTCAATTGCTCTAGGATTAAGTTTTCTGATTTATGTATATTTAGAATCCGCACTCTCCACTTCTTCTTATGTTCCGCCTAATTTGAAAAATTTGTTTACCCACGTCATCATGTCCTGAAGTTCCATCAATTCCTTTTTTTTCCTTTTTCCAAATCTCGGAATTGAGAAAACCTTGTTGTTTCTATTTCCTTTGAAGTTTCCACGGTATCCAAATAGCTCTTGAGTAAATTGCATCTGTTTTCTCTATCTCTCAATGCAAATTCCAAGTGTCTTTTAAGCGAAAGAAATTATTTAAACTTATTTGTTGAAAGATCTTTAGAGAATACGTCAAGTTTGCACTCTAAAAATCGCATGATCACATATGACCTGCTCGCACTTTTTCCTTCTCCTTGCAAATTTTCATTTATATCACTATACAAGTCTGAAAAGTTGTTTAAAATTGTAAATAACGCAACCAAACGGGATACATGAGTTGAGGAAATTCTTGCTCCTTTTCTAATATAAAAAAATTGAATTCCATCTAACAGCTGTACAAGACTTGTTCACAACTTAACCAGTGATCATTATTACGAACTAGTATGAATAACTTTTGATCTAAGGATGGGATCTTCAAGTTCTAAGATTCAATCTTAATGGTTCAAGGAAGTAACCTCAAATATGCTTATTGATTAGTGCAGACAATATTTAAGTTACGAATACAGACACAAAAAAGCACTTTCTCTAATAAATATACCTTTTCTTTCGACAGATTCAGATTTCTGATCTTAAAAATATAGGAAGTAAGGGCAAACTGGGAAATATGGTCCCAATAGTTTGGTCAGGAGAACGGTCCAGCATTTAGATTCCTTAAAGTTAACTTTATTTTTTAAGTATACCTCTAGCACTTTTTGAGAGAAAAATTTTTTTGCAAACAATTATAAATGCTGTTTATCCAAAAATTATTCCATGCAAGAAATAACTTTTGGTGGCACCTAAATGGCACCTTGAAACCAAGGAACTCCTGCATCATGCGCAGGGTGGTTTTAGGAAAAACCGTTCCACTAAGGAGCTTGTTACCACTTTTTCTCAGAGTAACATTGTGGGTGCTATTTTTGTGGATTTTAAAGGAGCATACGATACTGTTTGGAAGGCTAAGCTCCTATGTAAATTAGCTAGTAAACATATATCAGGTAACATGCTGCGGTGGTTCAGTGACTTCCTTGATCAGCGTCTTATAAATATCCGAAATGGAACCGCACAGTCTAGTTTTAGGACTTTGCAAACTGGTCTTCCCCAGGGAGCTGTGTCCAGCTATTTGCTGTTAGATGTGTATGTTGATGATCTGATACGATCTTTGATAGATGAAAATATAGGTGTACTTATGTATGCTGACGATCTTGTTATTTGGACATTTAGCCCTAAAAGATGAGCAAACGAGACTTCAAATTTCCCTAAATAACGCCATGTCCAGACTCCTTTCCTGGTGTTTGGAAAACAATCTGATCGTCAACAGGGTGAAAACAACCTACCAAACCTTTTCATTATGTCACCAACCATTACAGCTACATATATCGTATAACAATATGGCCCTAACATGTAGTGAGAGTACTGAGTACTTAGGAGTAATTTTCGATCATAAACTCACTTGGAAATTATATATTGACGATATCAAGCAACAGGCTGAGAAGCGTATGATACTCCTTAAGCGCCTCGCAGGAGTTAGCTGGGGCTGTGCTACCACAACTCTACTTGATACCTATAAGACTTTTATAAAACCTGTCATGACTTACGGTAACGCTCCTCTTATTACAGTATCTGAGAGAGGTATAAATAGACTGGAACGACTGCAAAATAATGCACTCCTTCTTGTCACCGGTGTTGTCAAGACCACACCTATTGACGCACTTCTATTATATACCAATGATTTCCTTTTACAATATGAAATAAAGAAATCAGCTTTGAAGCTCTATCAGAAACTAATTCACCTACCTCATAGCGATATGTTGACCAAGTCTGAACCTCGTGGGCTGAAGACTCAGGACGGCTACCTTCAAACTGTATTAAAAGTGATGGATGAATTTGATATACCTTCCCGGATTGAACCCTTGCTTCCCCCCTTAAATCCTATGGAAGCTAGCGAAATATTATATCACCTGGACCTTATGAGTCCTGTCTTAAAACCCCAGGATTGTACAGCAGCTTTGTTCAGAGTGGGGATGGAGACTATCCATAATCATTTTCCTCTTGAAGCATGGTTGCACATATATACAGATGGCTCAAAGCTTGAGATAGATGGCGTTGCCGGTGCTGGTATTTATAGTGAGTATTTCTCCCACTGTCTTTCGTTGGGAACCGCCAAGACCGCCTTTGATGGTGAAGTTGAGGCAATCAAAGTAGCTTTAACTCTTTCAAATGCTCGCCCTTCTATTTTCGATCGAACTGTCATCTTCTCGGATTCCCAAGCTACGATTCTGGCCATTGCCAACTGCTCTCAAGTCCTTAGCTCTTAGTCCATTGTCAAATGTAGATCTTCAATGACAGAGATGGGTGAAAAATATAAAACGATTGCCTTACAATGGATTCCATCCCACTGTGGTATCCCCGGCAACGAAAAAGCGGATGCACTGGTCAAAAAAGGTTGCTTTGTTAATCAAACCCCAAATAACTTAGTTAGCTATAAGTCCACTTCATTAATGATTAATCATGCAATTAAGACAACTCATATATCATTGCTAAAAGAACGGACAAAAGAAAAATCGTGGAGAAATGACATCCTTAATCTCCCCGATTGCCCAAGAAGCAGTGCTGTAGCTGCCTTTCGTCTTGCTACCAAGCACGATTGCTTATACGCTCATCTTTTCCATCTTAAAATAGTGGATAATCCTGCCTGCCCCCTCTGCCGCAGTTATGCGATAATGAATGCTGAACATCTTCTCAACTGTTCAGTTCTCACAAAGAACTGCATCTACTCCCGATACTGGGAGGCCAGAGACCTTTTGTTCAATTTAAATTCTTGATTTAATTTTTGTGTTTGATGTTTTGCTTTTGTTTTTGTATTTTGTATATTTCATCTCTTTCTGTATTTGTATTTTTCTTATCTTTTGATCTCTGTACTGAGCTAGGATAATGTCTGTATTGCCTGCTGCATTGGAAATGGAAAAAAAAACTTTTGGTAAATATTTAATATTATTTTATTTAATAATAACAGAAAAAACTTTTAGTTATAAGATACCCAATTCCTTACATCATTACAAAGAATATAATTTTGCATGCTAAAATACAAATGTTTGAGCAAAATCAGTCTAATAGTCCTTGAGAAAATGAATTTTATAAAGTCGTATATTTAAAATGAAAAATCCATCCATCATCCGTAATATCTAAATGAAACTACAATAAATAAGCTTAATACCAGCTTCTAATTGGTGAATTTTAATTAAGAAAATCATTATAAGTTTTGAAATACAGCCATTTCTTTATTTACTAATAAAGTAATCAGAAAAATTATTTAATTAACTAATAAAAAAATTACAGGGTTTTTTACCGTAATTTCATCCAGAATTTTCAACAGTGTGTCACATATATATTATAGCATGTGAATTTCAAATTTTTGAGTGTATAGAAGCGTACCGAAATATCGAAAAAGATGGCAATATGCATCACATTTTAAAATATTAACGATTCATTTAAAATTCATAATTGAATTCATACAATTATATGCTTTAACATTTGAAATAACATTGCATTTCTGACAATTTTTGAGGACATTAATGAGTAACCATCCTATTTAATTTTATTCCCTTAGTTTTATTTGTAAGCATCTAGACACCATTAAAAACATAACACACATCACATGGGCTTAGTTACCATCTTGAATGTCCAAAATTGGCTCTGTCGGATGAACAAAATTTTGAAATAACTTATGTTAATTCTTGTCATTAAACAAAACTACCAATTTACTCTAAAATTCCGACTACCAATTAAATTTGAACTTAATGGTTGCCAGTACTTAATGTTAAGATCTATGTTATGCTCCGACTATTTGAGAACTGTCCAGTTACTTTCTTTTAAGGAGGTGTTCAAATTTACTAAGTAACAAAGATCGGGTTTAATAGGTTTACTAAGTTACAGTGTTTAAGATTAATGGGTTTACTAAGTAACAAAGATCGTGTTTAATAAGTTTATTAAGTAACAAAGATCGAGATTAATGGGTTTAGTAAGTAACAGTGATCAAGATTAATGAGTTTACTAAGCAAAAAAGATCCAATTTAATGAGTTTACTAAGTAACAAAGATCAAGATAAATGAGCTTACTTCAACAAGGATCGAGATTAATGGGTTTACTAAGTAAGAAAGATTAAGATTAATGGGTTTACTAAGAAACAAAGATCTAGATTAATGAATATACCATGTGCATTAGTTACCATGTGCAGTGTTAAAATAAACTGTAGCCAACGTATCTATAACTATAAAAGATTGCACGATGTTAAATACTTATGTAAATTTAAGAAATTAAGTTAGATTAAAAAGATATCAAAGAGCTTTAATTCGAATAAATTTGACCAAACATTTCAGATTTCCCATAGTGGTATTAAAAAAATAATTGGAATTAAAGTGTAAATTTTGTATGCTGACTATTCATGAAATATCTCTTATGCACCTAATGAAAGGGTTGAAATCAAGTTCATTAGAATCGATTCAGTTGACTGCAAATACTATCTAACGATAAGCAATTGGATACAACTAATTAAAATAGTCCAAATACATTTGTAATTGATATATATCTTGAAAATGTCTCAAGAAATCTAGTAAAATGATATGTTTGAAATAATTACTTGTTAATTTGAAATATAGAATTATTTATAATTATAATTATTAGAATTATTTGCGATGATTTCAAGGACTATAATAGAAAATCAAGAAGATTATATAATAAAATGTATACATAATGAAGACTTTACAAAAAAAAAGCATATATAATAAAGACTATATAATAAAACTGAATGTATAATGAAGTGTATATAATAAAAATACTTGAAGAGCATATAATGAAGAGTATATAATAAAAATATTCGTAATTAGATGGGTTAGAACCCATCTAATTTCATCTTAGACCATCCGTTTCATTGCAAAACATAAGTTCAAATGCATTTTTTTTGTTAAAAAAAACTTATTTTAGCTTTATTTTTATTACCTGGGTCACCAATTATTTCCTGGGGTATAGTTGTTTTACTAATTAAGTACAAAAAATCTATCGCTTAATTTTGATTAAAATTTAGTTGGTTTTAAAAATTGCTTTATTTCATTTTATAACTGGCGTTGAACATTTGACCCAATTCTCAATTCTGAGTTTGCGACTATCACTGTTCAACTCCGTATTTTTGAACCCACTGCAGAAGACAAGGGAAGGGATATATCATTGAGACAAACTGGCCTTTACGGAGAATTTTTTAATGGAACTAACCCATATTTTCTTTACATGGAAAGGAAAGTCTTTCACAGTTAGCTAGACGGTAAGGGGATTTTAATCCATGATCCATTTATCCAAGTCAGCGCTGTTTTCTCTGTGCGAGCAAGGACTAAAATTCTTATCGACCAGCCATCACTGGGATTGGAACCTCATTCGGTGCTCTATCAAAACCTCCTAGAAAAGAGAAAGCCTTCGCACGGGTAACCATAAATGAGAACGTTGTGATATCTTTCTCATATGTCCACACTGCGCAGTTTAGTAGTCCAGACGTTGTGACAGCTTTCTTATTTTTTCCCCACTTTGCAGTTTATGTTAGTTGCTTCGGACTACTAAATTGATCCTCCTGGAGGCTTTTTTTCTTCTAGAATGTGCTGGCTGTATCTCCTGGGGCATCACAGCTCCAATTAAGATAAGTTTATAATTATTATCTTATTTTTAAAACTCTACAGAAATTTTGATTCCTATTAATGAGGGCATCAAAATTTATATTTTTGAAAGAATCGCTCGTATAAATTTCCAGAAGTATATTAGAGGATATTCCAGAGTATATTCCAGAAGTGTATTGTTTGTATTGATAAATATGATCTATGAAACGAATGTCTTTATCATTTTTCTTTTCAAGATTACTGTTTATTTTGCAGCTTAATTAACCACGTTGATTTTAGGTAAATTAATCAACAAAAAAAAGTTTGGGAAATTATTTTGCATGTTTCAAAATGTACACTACAAACATTGAGGTATATTTCCTATCAAAATTAGGAGTTTAAAAAATCTACAAATTATGTGAATGATTACCTTATTTCAAGTTAATACCGAATCCTGCGTTTTTGTGCGATTTAAAGGATGTTGTTAAATCTTCAAACCAATAATTGATAAAGTTTAAAACAATCTTAGATGATTTCTACTCTCTTAATCGGCAGGAGCTCGTTGGTGAAGAAAGTTGCATTTTTAGAGGTCTATACATTTAGCGACTAATTACAGTATATTGAAACTATTCAACTATATTCTAGTGTGAAACTATGACAGGACGTATTTTAAACGTATAACATATGCGTTTGGACCATTATTAGAAGTTTAAAGGTGAATAATTATGCAATTTTAAGATAGTGACAATATGATGGCTTAGATGGTGGTTTGTTTTTATACTGATTACTGGTTAAATGCTAATTCTTCTTGTCAGATTGAATTCACAAACTGATTACAGCTCATTGAATACCAAGCAAGTTAAAATTCTCCTTACTGATTGATCAAGAATATTGAGTGTGGTCAATTATTTGCCAAGTAATTTCAATCTTCTTGATGGATTGATATGACAAACTACTCATACTAAACTGTTATATAAAATAACACTAGATTGCCCAAGGGAGTCATTTTGACTCATTTTTAATTTCAATTAAAAAAACAATGATGCATATAATGCGATTTCTTAGAATTTTGTGACTTTTTGTACAACATATAATTTTTTTATTGCTCATATTTACTAATAACTTGTTATATAACTGTAAATAATATAAAAAATATTAGAAATTAATTTTAAACAAATTTCTTTACACATTAGTTGCTTTTTTATTAGTATATATTAGTTATTTTTTATTAGTATATATTAGTTATTTTTCATTAGTATATATATACTTTTTATTAGTATATATTAAGTTTCAGTCTTTCTAGTGTTAAATGCAGGTATGTTTTCAGTTGTATAACAAAGATATTTATATTCTCATAAAATTTACATAAATCTGTCAATTGTATTAAATAAATTTATAATATTGAGCTTATATTGACTTCAGTTTTGTTCAAGTTTATATTAATATTCTGTCTATGGGGGGGGGGGGCTGTGTGCATGTTTGATTAACCAACTAATTTCATTTTAAGAGATGTTGTATACATGCATATCAAATCAATGATTCTTACTTGATATTGCAACGTAAAAATAACATTACTGACTCTTATGTGTATCATATATTATAGTAATTGCAAATTTTAGTGTTACTGAATAACAAAAATGGTGACTGCTATTTTACCCCAAGTAGTGTATAAAAATATT